TGTCATCCCTGCCTTCCGAGCTCAAGGAAGGAATCTCTGCTGAACAGTCGACTCTTCTTTATCCGCCTTGGTTTGGTTTGTGTTGTTGGTGTTATCTGAAAAGAGCGAAATTAAAGTCCTATTAAATTTAATTTTGATTGCGCATTATTAAGTATTTTATTCAAAATTTGTCTACTGTAAGTACCTAATTTTCACAATACATATCATTGCAGCACTACCGAAATTTTTGTCGTCCCCAGTTCTTATCATCCAGAATCTAACCTCTTGCCGATCGAAAGCTGAAACGCACAACTAAAAGGATTCATTCGCTTCGATCTGGAAGTAACGCTCTCATACTTTGTGTGAGAAGAGATGTAATTGTTTTCGAACTGTACAACATGATCACATCATCCATTTGGCCTAATGCCACCAAGCAACTCTGCTTAAACTCAGGCGGTTGTGGAACTACTAGTTGGACCGCAACACACATAACTCCCTCTGGTTTTCTTTCGGAACACTGTATGTTTCATCAGTTTTCTCTTGCAGATAGCTAATCTTATGGATTAGATAGAAATGTTTTTCCTCATTGCGTCACGCAGTTCAATAGATCTCCGTGAATTAGCATTTTCTATTATTCTTGGATTTGTTCATAGGGCACGCACAGACCTACCAGAATTGGGAAGATTCAGCCATGCCATGATAAATGAACTGAAAACCCTGTGTACACAGATCATTAAGCGCTGCTATTGTACTGCGGAATAGCACTGCAGGGAAGTCTTGAGATTCAGCCGGCCCTATGTACACCGGGGGCTCAAAGTGACTTCAGCTCTCCCTTTTCCATTTCAATTAGAAGTAAGTATGCCGCATATTTGTACACCATGGACCTCTTTTTACTAATGAGAATCTTTGTAAATTGATAATGCACGGTTTTCTTGCTAAAGTTGAAAGTTGGAATTATTCCCATCCCTTAATGCCTCCCAGTGGATGTTTCCTGCATACATGTCATCATAGTCATGATACCTGTAAGCGAAGTACCTAGTTGCGCGGTCCTGAATATGTGAATCACATTGGCTCAAGTATATTGAGGTATCCTATTAAATCCAAATAATCTCATTATCACCTGTACGCTTCTCTCCTTCTACTGGCCACTTGGCTGTGCAGCTTATCTATACTTAAGCCCATCTGCTAATGGCAACCTCTTCTGAGTGGGAAACTAGATGAGGTATGAACTAAAGCACTGCACATCACGTTTTCTCATGGAAAATTCGCAAGAGAAACGAATTGCATCATAGAAAGTAGTTGACCTAACCCATTCCTTTAAAATGACAAGTGAGACTCGTCATAGCTGCACTGGTCCAAGCGGGAAATAACAAGTCCCGCTTGTCATGCAACTTGGCTACTCGTATTGCCGTGTTTTGATGTTTTAACGAGAGATAGCGCCGGGTAAATCGACAGATGTTGTCACTAGAAGTCGTGTGACCAACATGTATTGGTTTTGCACGGTAATTTCCTCGACTATAGGGAATTTTGTTAGTTTCAAAATCCGGAAGCGAGGAATAACCTCGAAACTGAACCTAATTTTGCACGCAATTTTCTTGACTTTATTTTATTTTCATTCCGTATTTGAGCGGTTTAGTTGTAATGCAACTATTATTTGTCACTTATATTGGTATTTTTTGGGTTTTCTGACTTATTGCAAGTATTTTTTTTCCAATAAATAAGATTTTTCTCCTAAATTTTGCTTCTTTTTTTTTCTCAAGAAATTCACCTGACATAAGCAGACTTACTGCAGAAAAAGTGCAACTTCCTGGCAAATTTATTTATATAATTATCATACTAAATATAACTAATTAGAATTAGGCCAAGAACTTGCTCCTGATTATCAGGGAAAGCAGAAAACTAAGATGAAACCAAATACAGCTTTTTACAGTGAAATTAAATAGTAAATCTGTGCGCAGGCATGCAAAATTAATCAATAAGGGAATGGGTTAAAATAAATTTTCTCCAATGTACTCAGTTCATATTCTGGGCAAGGCATTGTAATTTACACTTTTCATCTGTTTTTGCTCGTAGGTGGGCAGCAATACTTTGCCAAGTCCTCACGTGTCTGCATATTACAAGATCAAACTTATCCTTGAGCTTCAAAGAAAGAGTGCGGATGTATTTGTCAGAAGAAGTATGATTCCACCTCTTCTTTTTTGCCTCATTTTGCCTTAATACTACCAAGCTATGACCAGGTATGTGATCTTTTCTAGGTACTTTACGTTTGTCAAAGCAACTAATTTCTTTATAGGTACAAAGATCCTCTTTTCATCTTTTGTCATCAATATATTTGAAAAAACTAAATACTCCAGAAGTAATGGTATCTTGTCAAAGTATATCAACTGTCAAAATCTCAAACCATGTACAGGTTGACTAGTGATGAGAAAAACCGAGGTGACCAAGAAGAGTCAGGGAATGCAACTCAACAGGGAAAAATCAGGGAATTTCGTCAACGGTCAGGGAAATTGTTGTGGAGCCAAGTTCCACCTCAAAATTGGGTCCATGACGGGCCAGCTAATCACGTTGTTGTGCCAACATTTTGACCTTATCAATCAAATGCCCTTACGTTTTCGTTAAAAGTCGGAAAATTTCGTTAGAAGAAGTCAGGGAATGATAAAATGAAATTTTGCAAGCCACCCTGCATGTATGTTGTTGGCAAATTTTTGTTGAGTAATTCTCCATTTGAAGAATTATGTATGAAAGGAAGTCAGTGCAAAGCAAGATACATGGTTTAGAAGTTACACCATCGATATGTAAAGACGCATATTAAAACAGTCCCTGACAACTTTTTTACCTATGATAATTTAAGGAGTCCATCAATGGGATGATTGGAACTCTCTGTTTTTGCAAAATGTTTAGGTCGCATTGCCTAAATTTACTCATGCTTGTTAATTTGTAGTTTTCAGGGAAAACCAAATTTTGAAAAAAATAAAATGTGGAATTTAGTGGAGGTCTCATGGAGCTAGATATGTAGTTTTGTATTACATTGCCACAAAGTGTCTTCTCTTATGATTCGGCATGGTCTGTCAAATGTCGCAGATTTGTGTCTTAGCACAATTTTCATGTGGTTCCTTTGTGATGATAGCAACAAAAAAAAAAAAATTTAGATACCTAGAAAGCCCTGTTTTTGGCTGCTTAAAAGTTGAGTAACCATAAATGCATAGAGCCAACTTCATTCTCAAAGTTAGAGATTTTCTGTCATTCTATGTCCAATGTGAGTAATCATTTAAATTGCCCAAAACAAAAAAAAAATGGTCCTTAGACAAATCTAATTCACTTTTTCTTGTGATAATTAAAAAATACTTTAATTTTTAGGAAGCCATTTTTTTGGCTCCAAGAATTCGTTGGAAGTGCGATTGAACAAATAAAGAATGGGTCAAGGCTCAATATTTCTTCACTGAAGAGCACCTCTAATTCAAATTATTTTGAGTCAAATGAGAGTTTGGTGCAAAACGTCTCTAAGATTAACTTTATTTAACATGATGTTTGCCTTTGCTTACTTTTTTCTGCAAAAACACTAATATCATTTTTGGTTGAAATTTTCAGGGAGCAGTCGTGATAGAGCCAAGCTCAAAGGAAATCAAAGCATGAGATAATTAAATTGTAATGTAGGTATAAGTTAAACTTGTTTTAATGGAGAATTTGCACGCAATTTTTTTATTGCTTCATCTGAAAGTGCCTAATGAGCTGAGTTCGCAATATTTTTCATAATTTTTTTCTGACATGGGAAATTGGAGAAAAATTGATTTAAAAGTGAGAAAATGTGCCGCCTTGTGACGTCATCTGGCGGCATTTCCCATTTAAACACATGTATTTTAGCAGAATCGGTTATTTTGTTATATCTCCTCTAATAGTTGCTCAATTTATGAATCAAGGGTATCTTCGTGTTCAGTTCACTCAGAGGATTCCACTTAAACAGGAAATTCATCAAATTTCAGACCCTTGCAAATTCTCCATTCATGGCCTACTTAAAGTGAGAGTCCACACCAAATAAGTCTACACACTAGGTGTCAGACTGCAACAGAATTTAATCAGAGGTCATTTTGTCATGGGAAGTAAATGCAAGGATCAAGATGACGGATCCTCTATCGCAATCTAAAGTGTGTAAACTTAGTTGGCACGGACTCTGTGTTAAGAAAATTGAATCAACAAGAAATGAATGCTTGTGTATTGTGTAAGGACTAGTCCATCTTGCATTAGAGTGAATTAAAGAAAATGGGAAAATAAAAAAACTCGATCTCTCCAAAATTAAATCAAAACTCCCGACGCATTTCGGGGCTCCCCTGCCCCTTCCTCAAGGCTGAATTCCAAATCAACAGCCGGCATTTACGGTTTTAATTTAATTTTTGTGAGTTCAAGTTTTCTAATTTTCCAGTTTTCTTAATTTTATTCACTAGCTTGCAGTTTGTTACATTTTTCCCCATTTGTTTCGTTTCATTTTGTGTTACTCCCGGTTTATCTTGCGTGAGAGTCTTTACACTCCAAGGTATAGTTAAAATTAAGCTATTCATAAGCTTCATTCTTTGACAGACGACACCTTTAGATTGTAGAAATTACTGTTTCCATACTTTTGAATCAATTTGAGTATTTTCTTAGAAAAATTTGGTAGGTGATCCTTGAATCAAACCTTCATTTCTTGAATGTCTAATTTTTTTAAAATTTTACTAGAAAAGCTCATTAAAGGTGGCATATCACAAAATTTTATACTCTTATCAACATTTGGAAGGCAAGTGCTCAGCGTTTCAATGGCCAATGGATCATTTCATATAGAACCTACCAGCCATGCAACCACCCGACTCAGATTTTGATGATAAATTTTTTTCTTGATCAGACCACCAAATAATGAACTTCTGCAAAATATTAGGTCTCAAATCGAAAAACTTATTGAGATATGAATCTTTGAAGTTTTAAGAATTTTCAAGAAAGAGACGTTTCGAACTTCCGAGAAAGAGAGGGTAATTTTTCCCAAAAAAATTCATCCCGGGCCCATTTTTCATCGGATGGAAGTGAAAATTTGACACAATGTCTATGAAAGTATGTAGATTTGAGAAAAAAATGCATAATATGATCGACTTCTCTCATTGATGTGCTGCGGTTGATTGTTCTTCTTGATTTTGTCTGATTTTAGCGACAAAACCGTCCCCCCTTCAAATGCCCATAACTTTTGAGCTGCAAGTTATTTTTGCTCCAATTTAATGCTCCTAGGAGTAATAGAAAGACGCCTGAAGAACAATTCTGATGGCGTTTTGGGCTTTAGTATCTTTTTTTTTCACTTTTGTCCAAAAAAGGCCTAAAAAACTAAAAATAACACCAAAAGTATTCCGATAATTGGCCATTACCTGAAAAGTCTCCTCAAAAATCGCTCAATTTTTCCCTGAATGGTCCTTACTGTGTGTACAATATGTTTGAAAAATAAAATCAATGGTATTTTGAGATTAAATATCTTAAACTTTGAGTTTGTTCCGAAAAAAGGCCAGCAAAACTGAAAAACTCTGAAATTACATCGATTATCGGCCGTAATCATACAGTACCAACTCAAAAATTGCTCACATTTTTACTGAATGGTTCTCACTGCATGTGAAATGCGTCTGGGGAATAAAAGTGATGGTACGTTGGGTTCCCATAACCCTTCTCCCAACATTTTTACTCAAGAGAGGCTGGCTTAACTGAAAAAAGCACTAGGAAAATCTCATTAATCGACCATTACATTGAAAAAGCAATTGATTGGGGGCCCAGATTTTTCACCAAAGGACTCTTGTTGTATGGGAAGCACACACAATGCACAAAGCATTGTGTGTGCTTCCCATACAATGAATTTTTTTGGGAAAAATTACCCTCTCTTTCTCGGAAGTCTTCGTCGAAACGTCTCTTTCTTGAAAATTCTTAAAACTTCAAAAATTCATATCTCAGTGAGTTTTTCGATTTGAAACCTAATATTTTGCAGAAGTTCATTATTTGGTGGTCTGATCAAGAAACAAATTTATCATGAAAATCCGAGTCGGGCGGTTGCATGGCTGGTTGGTTCTATATGGAATGACCCCAAAGTGCGGAACCTCTCATCTCTTTTTTTTAAAAATCTCTGCTCCTATTTTATCTCTTTGAAAACAAGCCAAGTTTATGGCTTGATTTGTTTTATAGAATATTCTGCTAATAGAAAGATCAGGGAAGTTTTCAAGAAATTACATTGACTAATTTTCTAAAGAGAAAATTAAGTAGGTATGATACCAAGTCTGCAACATCACAAAGAAGGATATTTTATTTTTATCTTTATATTTTTCAAGATTAGTTCATTAGCCTGAACAGAAAAGCTCAATACAAGTCGAATTAGAAAAAGCTACGAAGTAGATAAATATTACAAATTTAAAAATTCTTACAAGGTGTGGGAAGCGTTTTACATAAAGTGTTCTTTCAATATCTTAATGAACAAATTTGGCGACTCAGCTTTGACAAAGATCTCTTTCAACTCTTTAGGTAATTTGATATGTGGTATTGCCCTTTGACCATCGATATTTTAAAGAACAATTTTGCTGAATTTTATGAAATGGGAACAACAACGTAAATTTCTTCATGAAAATATGATACATGAAGTAGATGAAGTCGGTAGCTTACATCAGCATGAAATAATTAAACATATATATTAAAAAAAAATTATTATAGAGAATAAAAGTGAGAGTACTGTACACATTTTAGGTTATTTTACAGATTTTTAACCCATTCCTTTAACACAGATCTGTCTCCTCACTTTCCTCATACTCTTCAGTGCCATCCCAAGATAACTGCGCATATGCCACATCAGTCATACATATATCACATTAATCTCAATTATCTCTATGTTTGTCTTCAGGTACTAGAAAAATGACAAGAAGAGGAAGGACATAAGAGCCATAAACTTTTACTTTTGAAGCATTTATAACAATTCAAATAAAATTTTATTATTTGGTTTCAAACTTTTTGCGATGAAAATCAATGCATTATTTTGTGACATTGAATTGAACATGGAAGTAATTTTTTGTTATTATTATTTTCCATGTTGATGTCTGCCTTTAGAAATGAGAATTTTGTGTGGAATCAGAAATACTTTGCTGGGGCAGTAAAACTAGATGTTTTTGCAAGTGTTCGTAGTTTTTAATGACAGGGTTGCCACAATCAGGGAACACTCAAGGGAAGCTGGGGAATGTTGAGGAACTTTTAAAAGTCAGAAAAAATGACAATAGTGTTTGGGGAAAAAAAATCTTATTTGCTTTCTAAGATTGGTTGGACGTTTTGAGCGACAAATCATGACTGAAAACTATTTTAAATTATGTCTTTTAAATCATCTGCCATATATTCAATTTTCAGGGAATTTTACCAAAATTTGTAAAGGAATGTCAGAAAAATTCACATTCTAAATTCTGTGGTAAACCTGGATGAAAGGTAGGAACCTGGGTCACGAAAGTTTTACCAATGGAGAAGAGGGGCTCGAAAAATCCGTGATTAGCATGACGTATCTTATGAAGAGCCCTTAATTCTTATTTTTTTGTTCTCTCTTTCATTTTAAAACCCTTTTTTTTTTTTTTTCATATGTTTTAGGTTTCATAGGCTGTGACCAAGCTCCAGAATAAATATATGCAGTGCTAACAATTCATGGCGACCATTCTTCAACTTTAGTAGGTGATCACCAAGCTCCATACCTCTAACTTCAACCCAGAAACAGCCCTCCTTGTCAGCCTTAAAGATAGGCAATCTTTAAGCATGGATCAAACAGATCGATGGCTGAATTGTACTGCTATTTCGACATCTTCTATCACTAACCCAGTCATGACCACTCTGAAACCTGTAACCAGTGTATTTTTCCATTCGCAAAAGGAAATCATGAAATTTCCTCCCAACAATATCTCTGAATCTTTCTTGTCAGCTGAATCTCAACCTGAGTTAAGGATTCCATGCTCTAGTGTCTCTAACTGTAGCAATGCAGTTCAATCTAGTGATCTCAGAAGGGTGAGGAGAACTTTTAGAAATCCATTTTCTAAGTATGTTTCAGTATCATGTGACAAGAATGTATCAAAAACTCAGTCTAGCAGGGAGTTTTTTGGTACTTCTGTCAACGTACTCTGTTGTAAGACAGGCCAGAGCAAAAACTTTAAGTACTCCTATAAATTGAACACCTCAAATAACTTGTATAAGTTTAAGTCCATAAGGTTAAGTCTTAATCATCCATTTTTTCCCAAGAATTTAAGTAGAAAAAAGCATTACATGATTACCAACTCGAAAATTCAAAAGAAAACATCTAATCTGTCCTTTGGTACAACTAAATGCCCAGTAGACAGTGAGTCAATCTTGTCTGATAGTTTGAATTGTAACTATTCTGGTGGTTTTCCCCAAATTCTTGAGGCTGATTCATTGATTACCACAGTAGAGCATAATGATAGAAAGTCACTTAAACCTGAAATTTACCGCAAGTCTTCAATTAGGTGTGAAAGTAGGTTATACAAAATACGAATTGATGTTCAAGGTGGTGGCATAACGTACCCAAGAACCTGTGAGAAATGCAAAGCAATTTTCCTCAGTCAAGCTTCATACTCGGCTCATATTGAAAAGAAGCGCTGTGAACTACGAATCAGTCAGACGCAGAAAAGTTTGGAGGCAAATCCAGATGATTCCATACTTTTTGTAAAAGACATTGACAAGTATTTCCCACGTAGCATTGGAGTTAAGTATCCAAGAACATGTCATAAGTGCAAGGCAACTTACTCGCACAAGACATCATATTTTAGGCATCTAAAGACTAAACGATGCGATCAAATTATCTACCAAAAAAAGATTGCAGAAAATCCAAATTATGCGCTCGAAAATCCAGAACCAGAGATTTTAGACAAACGTCCAGATTTATTTGTCTGCCCCGATTGCAATACTGCTTATGTAAGTACACGATCACTCAGAAAACACCGGAAAAAAACGTGCAAAAATCGCAAAGTCTCTTTCATTCCTTGTGTTCACCCCGGGTGTGAGATCAATTTCCATCTTCAGCTTTCCATGATACGCCACTTAGCAGATGCGCATGGTGTGGATTTGCAAATTCAAAGGAAAAACTTCGCCAACTATGATCATTTTCTGGAATGGAAAAAGTTTGAGGAAAGACGCACCTTCACCATGCTAACAAAGAGGAGAGGAGATTATATACAAGCTGGAAAAAAATCTCAATATTACAGTTGCATGTTCAACGTCCAAGAAAGGAAAACCTTGCCAGACCGCAAATATAAACATGCACACAGCAAAGGCAATCTTGTGAACACTTACTGCCCAGCAAGAGTGGACACTCTAGAAGGGCCAGATGGTGTGGAAGTCACTTACTATTCGTACCATAACCACGAACTGAACCCTGAAAATCTGAGGTATTGCAAATGGAACGATGAGACAAAAGACTTGATCAGTAAGATGATTGAAAATAAAGTCCCTGTGAGTAAAATTAAAGAAGAATTGTCCTCTAATACTATGAACTCTGACATCCCCGTCCCTCTGAAGGAACATTATATAACAGCTCGTCAAATCTACAGGCTGAAATATGATCTATCAGCAAAAATGAAGATAAATAAAAAAGATGCTTTATCAGTTCAGCTTTTGGTGAATGAATTAGTCGCAGATAAGCCAGATTCTATTTTAGTGTTTAAACCGCAGGGTAAACCAGTGGAATTAGGAGAAGTTCCTAAAGAACAGCTGTCTGCTCCATATTTGTTTGTATTAGGAATTCAACAGGAAAGGCAAAGAGTTGAATTGATCAACAGTTGTAGGAAAGTTCTTTGCATCAACATTGAACATTTTCCAAAAATGTACAATTTTTCGCTCATGAGTTTTTTCATCCAGGATGAGTTTAGTGAAGGATATCCTATCGCACATTTTATCACAAATCGACTTGATTCCAACACACTCACTTCTCTTTTCAGCATTTTTAAGGCCAATAATCCTTACTTCGAACTAAATGCTTTCATGACCGAGGATAACCATATTTTGTATGATGCTTTCTTACAAGTCTTCGATCGAAAACCAATTCATTTACTGTGCAAGATGGATGTGAATGCATCCTTCTTGAAGCAATTGAACGAAAAAGTCGAAAATTCTGAGCTTGTAGCAGAAATGCACTCCAGTCTCATGGCTGCATTGGAAGAAAACGATATAGAAACTTTCAAAACGATGTTATCCAGTTTTCTAAGTAAGTATGAAGAAATCAGCCCAAATTTCTGCAAGCACTTCTCTTCCCGCTATGCAAAGAAAGCTGAGTCATGGGCCATGTGCTTTCGGAACCTTCCCTATGCAGCTGCAGATAGTTCGGAATTTTGCAAAGTCTTCCGCAGAAAAATAAAATTTGCATATAGACTCCAAAAAGCTAACAGGCGAATGGATGATTTCATCAATGTAATTCTGAAAACGGACAGGTTTTTCCATCTAGCAGTAATATATAAGAGATCCACAAATGAAGTGCCGCACATTGAAGGAATCGAATCGCTTAGTCGACACGCAGAAGGATTACTCATACCAGATGAAAGTGTTACTGCCGTCACAGTATCAAAATCAAAATTTAAAGTGAAGTCGGACGATAAAGAAGACTCTTATTACACTGTATCAGTGTTACTTGATAAATGTAGTGTACCAACAGCCTGTTACATTCAGTGCCACAAGTCCTCGTGTCATCCTCTCTGCTGTCATATGTATTCTTGCAATTGTCCCGACCAAAATTCACTCTGTAAGCACATACACAAAGTTCATTCTTTGAATAAGCAAAACCCAAACCAGCCAAAATCTGACAAACTCAATGAATCAGACGAATCGGACTGCGAATTGGATTTCAGCACAGTGCTTAAAAAAGCAGCTGTCCCACCTCCGGAAATGACCGAAGAACAAAGGCTCTTAGCGGTAGCGAAGAAAGCCGTGAGAGAACTGGAAACTCGTTTAGCAAATCCCAAGTCTGCCCCATTGTCACATCATATAAACATAACCTTGAGCTCTCTTGCATCAGAATGTGATAGGCTGATTCACCGCCCAGAAATGCCAAAAGTGGTAAAAATGCCTACTCCTGTAATCCTCAAAGAGCCTACTGTTGTAATCGTTAAAGAGCCTACTCCTGTAACTGTCAAAGAGCCCAACGCCAAAACCGTTCAAGACAACTCCTGTCCTCCACCCTCAATCCCAAGTTACCATCACATTGATCATGCTTACACGGACCTCACCGGAAATAAAAGAAGCTCAAAAGCAGATCCGCCACAATCCAGCCCAGTACCGAAGAAAACTATCAAGTTGGATAATGTTGCTAAACCTCAGCCTGCCAAGGTCAAGCAAATTAGGATACCTTTAAAATGTTACACCCAACTTGATACTGTAAAAAATTTTTCAGGGTCTTTGAAACTCTCGGATTCTTTGTTTAAAACACTGTTCAAATTAGGTCCATACAATGTTAAGTTGTACCATCTAAAATCATTAGATCCTGATATTCCGGATGAGGACTTGGAGCGGATCCAAATAGAAGTGCCTGGTTTTAAGAAAGGATGGTTATACGACTGTGTTATCTATACTTTTCTTACGAAAATTGCTCAGCCTCACATATCTGTGAAAGTCATCGACCCCTGCGTAAGTCAGCTTGTGTTGCGCTCAAATGGAGAGCCGGTACCAATAGAATCAGTAGCACATTTTGATAGAATCCTCATTCCATGCAACCCTGATGAGAGCCATTGGCTACTGGTCGTTGTTTATCCTGCTGTGAAATTGATCCATTTCTTTGACCCGCAGAGCACTATTGTTGAGCCGGAATATCATAAATTTATCGGCTTTTGGGCAAAGACTATATCAAAGGCCTCAGGTATTCCATTGAAAGAGTGGCAGATGAAGTCGCCAAAACATACTAAACAAACTGATAATCTTAACTGCGGTGTTTATGTTGCATGGTATGCCGACCAGATTTTGAAAAATAGAACGACATTCACTTCAGTGGACATTCCAAAATTCAGACGGTACATGTATGAATGTTTAAGAGTTGGTCTCGTGGAGGAGGCTTAGTGATCATGGCAGTTTTAATTTTTGTTTTTAAGAAGTGAGGATTTTGTGTATTTTGCTACTGGAATTCCTGAATATTATTCTTTCTGCGGAATTCAGCCTTTCTGTTGATCATTTATATTTTTTTATATATTTATGCTGGTGCACATTGTACCTTAATGTCTTGGAGGAATTTTGTAGGTTTGAGCTGCAGAATTGATACCATTTTTGGAGTTACATATTGTGTACCCAATCTGAAAGAAAAATATACCATGATTTTATTATAAAAATTGGGTTTTTCTTGGCTAAATTTTGCCTTTGTTTGAGGAGCATTCGGGATGATCCAAAAGTTCTGCACCACCAAACAGGTTCTTGCACCTATTTAGGGTGATCCCTTTAAAATGTTGGGAGTTTCTGAGGCACTTACAAAATATCAAGTCTCTATCTCAATTTGTTCAAAAGTTATAAGGGTGATGCCTGGTATTGGTGATGCAAGACTTATGAATCATACTTCAGAGCAAAAGAGCAGAGAAGGAGTCTGTTCATTGAGGAGGGCCAGAAAAAGAAAAATACGGAGCTTAACACCTCAATTTTACTGAACCACAGTGTTCTGATCTAATAAAAATTTGGATTTGATCCATAAACTATCATTTAATTTGTAATTATTGTGAGGTTTTTCTTTCTGTTTATAAAAAATGGAGCCCAATCGAATCTCAGAAAGGAACCGTGTGATTTTTTTCTTTAGATCGTCAAAGAGGAAAATTTAATTCATAGTTGGAGGCCATGTGCACATGGACTGACATTAACTTGCATGAGAAATTGTATCAATTAACTTTTATCAAAGCCTCAAGTTTCTCAATAAATTCCATTGCCTTTTGCTAACTATAGCCCACCACATTCAGAATTAATACCTGGCGGCAAAAAAGAGCACGGATGTTTTTTTTTTTTTTTTTTTTCTTTTTTTTTTTTCTTTCCTTTTCTTTTTTTCAAGTAAATGGGTATACAGCTCAAAGCCAAGAATGTCAAATGTAACCTCGAATATGAATTAATGTGACCTCGTCATTACCCATGTGATGTCCACTTTGTATCAAATTATCTCATCGACATCTTATATCTGCAGACAATTCAGATTCCTTTAGGTCAAAGGAATTTTTCTCAGCCCTGACAAGTCAGGAAAAGTTAGGAAATTTTTTTCTCTAGTCAAAACATCGCATTTGTCTAAATTCAACATACTTGACGGTCAAAAATGTTAATTGTGTTATGAATGTTTATCAGAGATCATGCCACGAAAAGACTGAAAAGCTTAAGTAGTGTCGGGGATTTTTAGTTTTAAATAGGTATCTGAATTGTCTGGGAATTTTAAATCCAAGAAACTTTTTCATTCTGAAAACAGCGATAATCACGACAGGTCTTGATTCCGCTAGCTTTTGCCGATAACGGCCCCGCTAATTACACTATTCGGCAACGCTGCCCTATACAGAAGATAGTAAATAATTAGTAGGATAAGTGCAGTTTTTTAATATTTCCTAGTCAATTTAATGTGAAGACTTAAAAGAATGTAAAGGGTGTAATTGGCAATAAAACTAGGCGAGTGATTCCCATTAAATAATGCCGAATTATAGTCTCCATTTATATTCATCATTTTTCTCTGTGCGTTTTCCTTTTTTCTTCCTGTCAATTGGATTAAATAGGTATTCAAACGCCCTTATCCTCGTGCAGCGACAGCGTATGAATGCAGTGAGTGACACATTTTGTTTTGACAAGCGGAAAAAATGAAGGCGCTTTGGGATTTTCAACGGCTAGGTGTGGATGCAACTATTCGTGTTCTCCGGATGTCCATGTTGCATACACCAATAACTGCAGGCGCTGTGGTTTCCTAAGCACGACCATCAGCTGCGCTCAGACGGCTGTTCGGAGGCATATAGAAAATTGTTCAACTCCATGGGCGGATCGAAACACTTCGAACGGAAAGGGCGCCCCGGGGACTCCCCCCCCCCCCCCCCTCCTAGACAATTTTTGAAATTTTCCAGTATCTAACATGCAGTTGGAGTCGATTTCATCATGAATAATTACCCAACATAAGCCTCACTCCTTTTTTCCTCCTGTCCTTCCTTTCTTTTTGAGGAAACAAGAGGGGCCTCCACCCCTCTGGATCCGCCTATGTTGAACTCTAATGGTTCTAAAATCGATTTTCAAAAGGTCAACTTATCGAGGTTTGGGGCTAATAGCCGGGTGCTGGACTTGGTTTCATAATTATTGACATCTTCTGTTGACGCAATGATGCGTACCTATCGGTCAGCGATGTTTGAGATGACGTCAATCATGCTTATTTTTGCCATCCGTTGAGTTGAGTCCAACTAGGAATTCTGTCGTGCTAAGGAAAAACGCCGTATGCACTTCGAGAGTTGTCACCGATAAAATGTTTGATTTTAAAAAAAGTTATGAATATTTTTCCTTAAAATTTTCAGACACTTCAGATCAAATTACAAACTAAATTATCGGAGAAATCGGAAGAAGAATATTCACAGATTGTCTTGTAAATTAGTAATATGTCGAAGGAAATTTGGCAACGCTTGAAGGCTCATACGGCGTTTTTCCGAAGCACGGCAGAATTGATCCTTGGTATGGAGGGTCAATGATGCAAAACCTATCCGTTATCTCCATGACAACGCAAGCTGTTGATCGTGCTCTATCAACAAAGTTCTATAACCGCGTGGTGCGATTTCGAGCCTGGAGTTTTGAACCGGTACATCAAGGTAAGATCTACCTGTCGTTCTGATAGCAGATTTCTCAATTTACGTGAGATTCTAATGTAATTAATAGTCGTGTTTATTTACGTACTTGAAAAATGGGTTTTACCAAGCGGTTTTTCCAATCATGCCCTTGTATTTCATTTTTGAAAATCTTATATTGCCATGGCTTACCCTTCCACCAGCCTTCACTATAAAAAAACTAGGAATTGGCAGGCAATTTCGTTAACTTTCACGAAATGTGACGGCGATACTCACCATCACGCATATGTATTCAATATTTAAGGGGCTTGGAGGACAAAGCGCAGTTTTTGAAAAAATTTATTAGTTATTGATTTTTTCAAGTTGAACATAGATTTAACGCATACTTGGTGAAAAATTCAAAGTAAAAAATGTCATCAATTAGTCACCACTTTTTATCGGCTTTGTTACGATATGGGTAATAGCAAAACGTACAAAGAAAGTGACAATTTCAATTCGAAGCTGTTTTTGCCTAATCAACCAAATGAAGGGGAGTGATGCTCAAATCTCGATCTCGAAACGTGCGGTACTCAGAAATAGGTACAATAGCGCGTAGCAACTGTCTTTTTATTGGCTAAGCATCAGAAAACAGAGAAGGGGGAGAAGACAGATGTTATTATAATAACAACAATGTATACAATGATTTCTATCCTATTAAGTAGTAAGTTTAATTAATATTATTTATTTTATAATCAAGAGTAAATCTATAAATTCTCGAGAAAAATACTCGACTTTTGAATGTGGAATAGATTTGATGACATCTTTGCGACCGCTCCATTTTCTTTACATTCCGGGATCTGAGGTCTGAATAATCAAAGAAATTGACAAGATTCTTGGTCACGTTTATGCAAGATTTTAAAATTGAATAACTTCCGAGGTCGTAAAACTCAAAAATGCTAATGTCTGGCCGTGGTTACCTATCGACTACAGTGGAATTATGTTCATTTTATATCTTAAAAAATTGTATAAGTAACTTTGTATGGTTTAGAAATTCTGTTCGTGCCTTTCGGTACGAATCTGAGATAGTTCCCACGTTTAAAGTGAGCGGAAACTTCTGAATTCACGATTTAGGTACCTACAAAAAAATACAATTGTTATAGGTAATGAGGGAAATGCGTTTAAATTCCTTCATAACTTCGATTCACTTTTATCTGCACTGTATCTCAGGATGGTGATTTTGCACGTGAAGAAGGACGACGAAAGTCAATTCCTGTACGAGACCAAAGTTTCTGAGAGCATTGATGCGGTGACCACAGATATCGCGTTCATTTACAACGGAAGGTTAAAAATCAGCCGCATTTGTAGTGGTGAGTAGGTATTTCACTTTAGGGGTTTGGGAAAATTTTGACTGATTTTTCGATACCTATTGTGTTTAATCCCTATATTTTCCACAAATTTTATGAGGTAGGTACCTACGAGGTGCATTCAATAAGTAAGTATCCCCCCTCTCTAAAATCAATAAAAATGGATCAATTTTAAAAAAAACTTGGGCTCAAAATCTTTCTTAGGATATACTGAGTTCAACAAAACAAACCGCAACAAAATCGAACTATATGCGGCCGAACGCGAGCCGTTTGAACGCGCCGAGGCGCTCGACGCTCCCGCCGAATCCGCGGGATTTGAAGTCCGCGACAGGAGAAGAGCTTCTCTGCCAAAGCCTCAGTCGTTCATCACTGACGAAAAATCAAATAAGTTTTTGTTGAATAAGGGATTTACATCACTTCTCCACATAACCAGCTCGATCCAAGCAGGTCTGATAGACTAAGAGAACAGCTTTTGGATGCCCCGCGGGTAGAAATCTTTCAGCTGACCGGGGATGAAAGAGTGGACGGCTTGTTTGACCTCTTCCACTGATTCAGAATTAACTCTTCCGAGTTCATATTTGAGATACGATACTAAATGGCAAACCGGACCAACATTCATTCCCGTTTCTGAAATCTGAACTCGGGGGAGTTAATTTTGAATCAGTGGAAGAGGTCAAACAAGCCGTCCGATTTTGTTGCGGTTTGTTTTGTTGAACTCAGTATATCCTAAGAAAGATTTTGAGCCCAAGTTTTTTTTTTTTTAAAATTGGTCCATTTTTATTGATTTTAGAGAGGGGGGATACTTACTTATTGAACGCCCCTCGTATTTAAGTTCATTTGGGTCGCGCTCTTCTACCGATTCTCAGAAATTCGTGCGAAAAACACTGAAAATGTAAGGAAAAGTCGAGTATTTTTATGCTTAAACTTTCTAAAAAGTCAGGGGGAGTTTTTTAATCCAAGAAATCTCGTCACCCTGAAAACAGCGGTGATCACAATAGGTCGAGACCCCTCTTATTTTGCCGATAAAGGTCCCGCTAATTGTACTATTTGGCACGTGCGGAAGACTGTAAATAATTAATAAGATACGATTTGTATAAATTCCCAAGCAGGTATGAGAAGTTCAGGAGGAGGTAAGTTAGGCGCGTAACTACCTCACGAATACGTAGTCTCCATTTTATTCATTAATTTATTTTAAAACTTATTTCCTTTTTTCAATGTGATTAAATATTCAAACCGTCCTATCTTTGTGCAATAAAGACGTATGAGTGCAATATGAGTGACACATTTTTGTATTACTATTTGAAGCACAAGGCATTGAAGGCGCTCCGTCTGTTTCAACAGCTTACAAAGTCTGGATGCAACTATTCGTGTTTTCAGGATGTCCTTGTTGCATACACAAAAACTTGCAGGCGTTTTGGTTTCCTTAAGCACAGCGTATGTCTGCGGTTATTGATTCTTAAGGGTCCTTTGCGCATTCACAGTCGAGTTTACTGTTAAATCCTTGAAATTCGGATGAGACACTTAGCACCATGTCATCGTTACAAAATGGTGGAAATTGCAAAAATTTTTGGCGGTAGCAATTTGCAGGATTAATTCCTTCGTTGGAGTATTTTTGGTGGAAAAAATGCACCATTTGGCAACGCTGTCATGATGCAATACTGCTCATTTAAACTCCGAGGGTTTCATGGTAAAGGCGATTGTAAACAAGACCAATGCACACAGGTAAGGTCTTTCCCGTGATGCCGCAATCACACGCTGAATGAAGGAGCTGAATGTGGCTTGAATGTGGAAGTCATCGGCCCGAAGCAAATTCAGCAACGATTCTCAACAACCATCGGATAATGTCGGATTTGTCTAAACTGTTCGAATAGATTTGATACACATTTGAATGAAAATAACTCGAATTTGTGAAATTTCAGCTGTTGAGCGCTGAATGTTGACTGCCACATCCAGCTGCCAAAGTCAGCGTGTTATCGCGGCATGAAAGAGTTTTGAGACCCTAGCTCGCATTAGGGTGAGAAATTTAAATGCAAAGTATTTCTCAAGAGCGGCCAATGTGACGTCACACTGGCTGCAGTTGAGTGAGAGCCGAGCGAAGAAGTGGATTCCAAAAAAATGCCTAAGTACCGACCTCCGTGGATTGGTCGTACATGCAACGTAGAAAGCCCTCGAGAACTGACAACTGCACCGCCGTGCTAAGGAAGAACGTCGTATGAGCATTCGAGAGTTGCCGAATTTCCTTTGATAAAACATGTATTTTTGACAACACTATTGCATATTTTTCCTCGAATTGTTCAAATATTTTAGATTAAATTGCGTACGAAGTTGTCTGAAATTTTTGAAAAATAATATTCACTATTTTTCCAGAAAATTCGGTTTTAATCGGAGGAAATTTGGCAACGCCTGAAGGTTCATGCGGCGTTCTTCCTTAGCACGGATATGCAGCAGCCTCGCGTTGTGTTGAAGAAAACCAAAGCGCCTGCAATTCTTTGAGTATACAATATGGACATCCCAAGAACACGAATAGTTGCATCCAGACCTAGCCATTGAAACAGCCGAGGAGCGCAATAAATGTTTTCCTCTTGTGATAACAGAATGCGTCACTCGTTGTATTTATATGTCGCCATTGCACGAAGATAAGGCCGTTTGAGTATTCAATCAAATTGAAAAAAAGAAATAGGTAAATTAATTATAAACTTAAAACTAAAATGGAGACTATTCAATGGCAATCACCCGCCGGACCTTATCGGCAATTAGTCACTAAACTTTGACTCGTCTCATTTAATTTACCTGGAAACATGTGAAAAACGAACCATATTTCTTTATCATCTTCCGTATGTGGCAGTGTTGCCAAATAGTGCAATTTGCAGGTCCGTTATTGGCAAAAACGAGCGGAATCACGACCAATACTGCCGTGCTAAGTAAGAACACATAAGTATGAACATTCGAGAGTTGCCAAATTTCCACCAATAGAATGTTCATTTTTGAGCAAAGTTCTGAACAGTTTTCCTTGAAATTTTCAGATCTTTTATTTTAAATTGCGAACAAAATTGTCTGAAAATTTTGGAAAATAATTTTCGCAATTTTCTCAGTAAATTCGGGTTTTTTAGAAGTAACTTGGCAACATCTGAAGGCTATACGGCGCTCTCCTTAGCACTGCAGAATAATGATGATCTCTGTTTGCAAGGCAACAAGTTTTCTTCAAAAAAATCACTGACCGCTTAGATATTTTGAGTGTGAAACCCTCTGACTTTTTACTGTTTTTTTCATTTGTCATGGTTTTTGATGAAAATTTTAATCAAAAACAATTCAGAGCGTGAGGCACAAATGTCGGAAATATCATCAGTTGTGATTCGCAAAATGGCGGACCGCAATGCCTTTGTGAAAATGTGTAGGCGGATGATTAGTAGATATTTGCACTATTTTGGAACGCTGCCATGGCGCTACACGACTCATCTAATTTTCGAGGATTTAACAGTAAACCCGATTGTGAATGCGACGTCGAAAACCGTTGAGAACTAGCAACTGCACATATACGCGGTAAAAAAATTAGCGGCAGTATTCGCACCCCGAGAATTTTGGCAGCCGGAGTGGAGATTTGCGGTCCCGGCAGACGAAACTCGGCATAACTACCGAACCTCTGGTAGAATATGCCCAACTTTCGACAGCCGAGACCCTAAATCTCCACTGCAGCTGCTGCCAAAATTCTCGGGGTGCGGATACTGCCGCTAAATTCGTTACCGTGTACGTTTTGCTGAAGAAAACCAGAGCGCCTGCAATTTTTTATGTATGCAACACGGACCCCGCGAGAACACGAATAGATGTATCCGGACCTAGCCATTAAAAATGAACATTTTATCGAAGGAAATTTGGCATCTCTCGAATGTTCACATGACGCTTTTCCTTAGCACGGGAGTAGTAATATTTCGTAATATTTGAGCTTGAACATGAGCTTGGTTTTGGTTTTTGGCAGAGATGGAGGAGCTGGCTAAACACGGGACGTTCTACCCGCCTGAGATCCTGGGCTTGCTCGAGGAGCAGGTGGCGGAGCTCAAGTTGACGGACGAGTGGGGTGAGAAGTGCAGCCCGAGTGGGGGGTGGAAGCTCAATAAGGACCCCATCGGACGCCGCAACGGTAGGCAACCCGTCGAGGAGATGCAACAGGTCCTCCTTAACACCGTCGAGGAGGCCAAAGCTATGGTCTCCAAGGTAATTAACTCATTCTCATTGATCAAGCTCCTTCGAGGGCTTCTCCAATTTCCAATAAGTCCATCCTTCTAAAGCATCCTCCTTTCGTAAAAGCACTTCACGCTCAAAGTCAGTGGAGCTACGCTCTTGCCCTATTCAAGCACCCAAAATCCACAGAGCGCTGGTCGCCTTGATTTTTTTACAGTCTTGGCGGCAAGTTTGAAACAGTGATCCGTTTCTGCAATATTCCATTCTCGTTAAATTGGTCCTTTTTTTCCGCGAGGCGACGATTTCTCAGTTGCTTCTCTCCCCATGGGGAAACTCCCCGCCAAGACTAATACTGCCGTGCTAAGGAAAAACGCCGCACGAACCTTCGAGAGTTGCCAAAATTCCTCCAACAAAATGTGTGTTTTTAAGGAGAGGTGTGATTCTCTTATCTTGAAAGTTTCTGAAAATTTGGATCTGATTGTGATTTAAAATCTCTGAAAAATTGGAGGCAAAATATTCACAGATTTCCCTGAAAATGCGTGTTGTAACAGAGGAAATTTGGCAACTTCTAAAAGCTCATACGGCGTTTTTCCTCGGCACAGCAGATTGAGAAACTAACGCGACCGAGCTTTTACTCGATTTTGGATGGTCTGCATCGTCAGAAGGTAACTTGGTTTCAATTAACTTTGTAATACGGCATCGCTTTCTGACTGAAAATTGAGTGATCGCAGGATCCGCATAACTAAATCAGACGTTCCTTAATTTCTTTACATATTTTTGACTGGAATCATTGGTGATTTCCTGAAATTGACAACACTGTTCACATTCCCTCCATTTAAATGAATTACAAATATTGATGCCACGTGATGTAGGTCGCCCCACTTTGTTTTATACATTCAAATTAAGGATCAACTCTGTTATCAACCACTGAGCACCATCACCGCTGCTGATAACTTGTCAACACTCATACTTAAGAACTTTTGAGACTGAATGTATCAGTATCCTAATGGAATTAACGTGAAATTTTCAAAGCTGCATGCTGTGGGCTCACGGTAAAGAAGAAAACTTGGAAGGGAAATGGACTACATTTTTGCAATTAGAACCTACAATCTCCAGCTCGTTTTAGAAACAGCAAATGTGTCATCAGTTTTTCTATGCAGATAGGTGATTTTATAAATAAGCGAGAAACAACAGTTTTCGATTAGCAGTTCTGTACCACAAAATGGAGTCTAATTAGGAAACGCTAGAAAGAGTTTGATACAAATATATGGAAGTGTTAAAATGGATTAGAAATTTCAAAAATTTTCTGAAGGAGGCTCCTCGGAACTTTCGGTGATAGAATGGCTAGGCTTAAAAAGTATCTACAATAGAGTTGCAATGTACTGGAGCACCGCACTAGTGCAATCAAGTCAATCCTAGAACGATGCATATTATCCTATTTTTCCTCGAAAGTGGAAGCCATCCGGAAACCATACGTGGCATTTTCAAAGACGCCGCACAGTGAATCGTGTTAATTAGGGAGGTCGCACATGAAATATTTGACTAAAACCGCAAATTTTGATGTTTATTTCGTCACGTTTTACATTTTAAGGGGTGTTTCTAGAAGAAAATTTCACGAGAAAACCAATGGAACCACTTTTAGAACCTCTATTTTTGTATAAATGGAGTTGTAAGCGTTTAAAGTCTCCAAATGTTGTCCGACCTCTCCTTTCAGCTCGATCCACAGTGCAGCGGCTTATCGAAGAATTGCGGGTCGCCTGTGGTTTTCCGGCGGATTGATTAATTTTAATCGATAGTTACTTTCGCGGATGTTGGCAAATTATCTTAACCAAAGTCATAACAAATTAAAAAATTTACGAAACTCCTGGTTATTGTGAAATAAATTGTAAACTTGTAACTTAAATGATCAAAGCGGAGCCCGGAGCTGGGACCTTGCGCATACGGCATCGCCTGTCGCCGCTCACTGGTCTCAGGAGCACTGGACAAAACTCCCGCAAAAAGTGACTTGATCGGCGCGCGGCGCTTCAGTAGGTACATTGCGGCTCTGTTCTGCCGTGCCAAGGAAAAACGCCGTATGAGCCTTTAGGCCTTGCCAAATTTCCATGGATGAAATATGAGTTTCCTGGTAAACTTATGAATATTTTTCTTCCAATTTTTCAGATAATTTGGTTCGCAATTTCATACCTAAATTGCGACAATTGAAAAATGTTGTCTAAATGTTGAAAATTTCAAGGAGAAATACTCATAATTGTACCCAACCCAAAAATAAACATTTGATCTGGGAAAATATGGCAACTCTCGAATGTTTATACGGCGTTTTTCTCTAGGAGGGCAGTTTTGTGCTCTATGCTGCCGTGCTAAGGAAAAACGCCGTGCGAGCCTGCAGACGTCGCCAAGTTTCCACCGATGAAAACCGAAATTACTGGGTAAATTCTGAATATATTGTTTTCCATGATTTTCAGACAATTTTGTGCGCAATTTAATCTAACATATCCGAAAATTTCAAGGAAAAATATGCATGCATGTCGTCAAAAACACGTGTTTCATCAAAGGAAATGTGGCAACTCCTGAACGTTCATACGGCGTTCTTCCTTAGCCCGGCAGCTTGGAGGTGGAATAGTCGTATTTTATTCGAAACAACAAATTGTTTCTGTTCTTTTTCTTGTTTCTTTTGCGTGATTCTGAACAACCAATGAGAGAGCTAATACCAATTTCAGGTTAGAAAACAGCGTTGTCTCGGGCAACAACATGAAAACGACTTGCCTCTGAGCACGTTGCAGTTGTTGTACAACAATGTTGCTGTAGGGATTTCCAAATTTTGCGCGCGAAAATGAGCCCCGCCCCCACAACACAAATCATCTTCGAACAAAACGCGATTGTTGCTTGTTTTCCCAGCATGTTGCGAGTGTTGTTGTAGGTTTAGATTGGCGGTATGTCAGCCCCTGGCTCGCACCTGAATGCAAACCAAAGACATAAAGACGGAGTGCTCGTATCTAAAAGCACGGGGAAAAAGTGAAGCTAGGTTCGGCGCTGCGCGTTTGTGTGAGTGTGTAAATGAGCGCGGGAATCCATGGCGGCAAACGGAAATTTGATTTGAACTTGTCCTCTTGATTTTTCCTTATTTCTTCTTCGAAACGTGTTTTAAATGCTTAAAACGATTATATTAAGAAAGTTCGGTCTGCGTCCTAATATATTACACCTACTTTTGCTCGGTAACAGGCAGTAATCTCAGATAAAGTTAGTTTTTCTTCTGCTTATGGTGGTTCTGCAGGTTCAAACAGGCCGTTACAGTTCTAGATCTACGTTACTCCCAAATGAAATCAGTCGGTCGACGACGGACCGAAACTAACCTAAAGTTAATAAAATATGAGTGTGTACCTGAATTTGGGCAAAAATCAACCTAAAATACTTTGTTTCCGCAATTTTATTTATTAGTTCCCGCCCTACATTTGAATTCAAACTTGTCCCGATTTCGCCGCCAATCCTCTAGCCAATAGTAGAGGTGATTGAAAAGAAGCTCTAGAAGCTTCATTTTTTGCTTTTAGTGCTCCGTCTTTATGTCTTTGATGCAAACCTACCTATAGCAGAAGGCTTTTCTTAATGCTATGGCGCGAGCCGCTCGTCTTAGTGCGTTTTCTCTTTGTGCCCGAATAAAAGTTAATTTTATTCGTTATTCATGGTATTCACTTACTCGTTACTCCCATAGGTTACGGGCCCGGTATAAGTTTTGCCTCCGAGCAAAATACGACTAATGATTACCGGAAAATGGGTTTTTGTGTTGCAGAAAGTAGGTTATGGGCCTAGTATAAGTGTTGCCTCCAAGCAAAATACGACTTATGATTACCGGAAAATAGGTTTTTGTGTTGCAGAAATTAGTGGGTTATGGGCCCAGTATAAGTGTTGCCTCCGAGCAAAATACGACTAATGATTACCGGAAAATGGGTTTTTGTGATGCAGAAAGTAGGAGGTTATGGGCCTAGTATGAGTGTTGCCTCCGAGCAAAATACGACTAATGATTACCGGAAAATAGGTTTTTGTGTTGCAGAAATTAGTGGGTTATGGGCCCAGTATAAGTGTTGCCTCCGAGCAAAATACGACTTATGATTACCGGAAAATTGGTTTTTTTGTTGCAGAAATTAGTATCGGGGAACAAATGCCTGACACTAGGCACAGTGCAGGAGGCGATCCGTCTCCTGGGAGGGGCGTGCTCGATCGTGTACCCGATGGGCCTACCGCCGCACGATCCAATCCGGGAGGAGCTGGAGAACCGGGAGCAGTTGGAGGGGACGCAGGCCTCCCGGGAGGTGATGGAGGTGGCCGTGGCGCGGCTCTGGTTCTCCGGGCGGGAGCTCAACCGCGAGAAGCTCCTCCGCGACTACGTCGGCCCCAACGACAAGAGCAAACTCATCGTCAAGCTGGCCCGCCTCGGCCAAGGGGCCCCTGCCCGCGAGCCCGTCGTCACCGAGGAGGTCAAGAGGCGCATGATGGCCGATGCTTTTCGACGACAGGAGCAACTCAAGGTAAGTCAGCCGCATCTTCAGAATTTTCCCCTTACAAAAGAGACCCTCCACTAGAGTACCTTTATACGGAGACAGGGTTGCCACAGAATTTAGAAAATTAAATTCCTTCACATTTCCCTCACTCATTCTGGTTGAATTCCCTCACAATTGAAGATGTGATGGATGGTTAAGAAGACAAAATTGAAAATAGTTCTCATGCAAAATTTGTTGTTCGAAACCTCAAATCTATTATAGAAAGCAAATGAAGGCGATTTAACAAATTTTCCCTGACATTTTCGTCATTTTCGTAATTTTCCGCGATATTTCCCGGTTTTCCCTAACTTTTTAAAATCCCGTGACATTTCCCGGTTTTCCCAGTTTTCCCTGACTGTGGCAAACCTGCGGAGAGTATGGACAACTCGAAAATTTCCAGCTCAGCTTTCATCAGGTCATGTACCTCTTGGGGTCCAATAAGACAGCCAACCTATCAACTCGAATTATCCAATCCTACTTATTTAAACTCCCAGAGTAGGTACACCCATCAAACATTATTATAGCACCGATACAACTTTAATTTAGCGTACATTTTCTCAGTTTTAAAGTCTTAATCCTTAAAAATGCTTGTTTACAATGCGCTTTCGGTCCTATTGATTAATCTTCCAAATGCATAGGTTGGCAGTGGCACTTTTCCAGTGATTTTCGTGTCTCACGCTGTCACCCTTTTGGGCCTCAAGAGCTGCATAAATCGAGCAGGCCTCGAGTTCATACTCTCCCTATAAAGGCACTCTACCCTCCATCTAAGGGAAAACAAGACCAGTATGAATGGGCCTCTGGAGAAGGTAGAAATTATTCGCCGAAAAAAAGTTGATTTAACATTCTGGATGTAACAAAAGTGTGCGAGAACTTATATAAAATGCTGAATTACCCGCTACAGCAGTTACTTTAGCAATGCCAAGGTTTAAAACTAACTGTTGCGGCGGGTAATTCAGCATTTCATGTAGATATAGAACACCACGTTAGGTATGCAATTTTATCTTCTTGGAAGTCAAAATAGTTGTGTCACGTGTTTTACACTATACAGCTATTCTAGCTCTGTCTCAAAGTCTTTGAGTCAGCAACTTACATACGCAACTTTGCCTACCAGGGAGTCAAAATAGTTGTATCACGCGTTTCGCCTCATCCACCTTTTCTAACCATGCGTTAAAGTTCCGGAGTCAGCCGGGAAGAGATTCTCCTTCATTTTGTGGATACACAATTTTGCTTTTTGGAAGTCGAAATATCTGCATCGCTTGTTTCGCCCACTCCAACTTTTCTACCCCTGCATTAAACTTTCTGAGTCAGTCAATAAGAGATTCTCCATCACTTTGTGGATGTGTACTTTTAGCTATTTAGAAGTTGAAATAATTGTTCCACGCGTTTCGCCCCGTTCAACGCTACCTCTCCGTGCTGAGACGGCGGGAAAGAGACCAAGCTTTTTTCGATTGTTGAGTATATGCGAGAATTTGTTGCTTCATAACTCTGACCGGATCTGTGAAGATGGACCTTATTTTTCGGATGATTTCCGGAACATTGAACTTTTCGCCAACACCGATTGCGAGAAGTGCCTGCAAAACTGTAGGTTTACCTCCAGCATCACATCGTCTCTCCGAGTACGCGGAGCGGAACTTGATCTGTATGTCGCGCTCTCGCAAGTTCCCGCATGCTAATAATGCCAAATTCAGACGATAATGGGAGTCATTAGCCGTTCCTCATCGGACATGATTTTTTCTTCTTTTTTTGTAAATAAAATCGTCAAATTGATTTGAATGGCTCACACATGAAATCGTCCGAAATAATTCAACTTTTATACTACATCTAATTTCAGCAAAAAGATCAATCACGCCAGTCGTTCTATTGTGGTTTAATTGTTGAACAGATCAGTAAACAATGATAAAACCTCTCCAACCGTTTCGTGTTCACGCCCTATGGAAACAGATCTACCGCCCCTGCAAAAACTTGATGCATAACTTCATCTGCGAACCGTGAACCAAAGTCTACCACAAATAGGAGAAATTTAACGTGATCGATCAGGACATAACTCCATGTATATAAAAGAAATAAATAACTAACAACAGAGAATATTATAATGAAGTGCGGCAGATTGCAAGAAAATTTGAAACGGATAATTAAGGGAGTTTAATAGAAATTCAAGATCGCCCCAATCAATTACTCGAAGGCTTTTGTGATAACTATGTTTCGAAAAAGTTCATTCCGTGAAAAAATGAACGGGGCTGGAGGAGAAGGGAATTCAAATATTTTTAAGAATGATGCGTGTTACAGATTAAGCCTGAATAATGGATCACATTAATTATTCATTCGCAGCTATAAGTCGACTTTAATTTTATTCACCTCGAACTTACAATTAGTCCTTATGACAACTAAGCTATAGTAGCTAAGTATTCTCTTGAAGAGAGAAAGAGAAGAAAGCATCATTTGCAACTTCTCTTTGGCCGTATTCATCTTGCTCTCATTTCACCTGTAACTGGTCATCTCAATTCCTCTTGGAATTAAAGCAGCAGGAATGTATCTTCGGATTAAGTAGACTTTAGACTCCAAAGTTTGGGAAGTTCTCAAAACTTCTTGCCTCAGCATCAAAAATAACTCAAAATCTTGACGGTTATTAAAAGTTATTCTAACCGACCTGATGAAAATTTAGACTGATATGAGGCAATCGATTTGGATTCGATAGGGGCAATTTTTTTGTTAAATTTTCGAGGTTTTTTAAGTTGGAAATAAAGTGAGTGAGTAAGTACATTGTATTTAAAAAACTAATGTAGCAGGAACATTTATTGATAATATAACTCTCTACTAATAATAAGTGTTATATTTAAGTCTTTCCGAGTTTTCAAAACAATGGCGTTTTCTGGCATGAAGGAATTTAGTAGTTTTCTCAGTGAAAATTGAATTATTTCATTTCAAAAATCAGCGTTTGGACGCATTTGCTCAAAAATGAAAGAAGTACATACATGTGAAGGAACTATAGGATGTAATGATTAAAACATTTCAAATTTTATGCGTAGCGATGTTTACAGCATATCTTCTCACATACGTTAAACTCACGAAACTTACAAGTAGACTCACAATTAGTCGTGAGGAATTTCGATTTTCACGTTTAAATATCATCCTTTAACTTTATATCTAGGATACTTGACCCATTTAAAAAATACTAAATATTATGAACTGCGTCAATTTACGCGAGGAATCAATCGTTGGATCCGACAAAATTCAGTCAAACAGCAAGTTCACCAATCACGTAACATTGCAGTGAGATAATCTGAGCTTGTTAATGTGAGGAGTTATTTTGGTTGATTTTCTTCAAACAAAAGTTACATCTGAGCAGAGATTTGCAACGGCGCAGTTAGAGATACGCATTTTTCGACTTTAGCCATCAAGTTCGGGTGCACAGATCAGTTTGTTTTCCAGTATTGGGAAAGCTTCATGTATGAGTCTATTAGAAAACTCAAAAATAAAAAAAAAACTTTACAAGTGACTACCTACAGCTCAATCGTAGATATTTGTGTTAAGTGGAGTTCGACTAAACTAAAATAAACAAGAGTTTCTACGTGAGAAACAGGAATCTGATTTTCAATCAGATTATGCATAACTGAAATGAATACTGATTTGCACGGAGTGTTCTTTACATCGGAAAACAAGAAGCAGACTGCGTTGATTTTTCTAGAGATTGGACACTATATTTAAAATAAGTAAAACGTATGGGAAGAAAAATTAGGCTGTAAGTAGTTCGGCGCTGAAATGTCCAGTAAGTGCAACTGGCCTCAAGGAATTTCTTTCAGGAAGAGGAGAAATGAGACAATTAGGTGATCCTCAGAATTTTTGCTGTGGCCAGAAAATTAATCAAGGAAAAGAACATCAATAGAACATTATTAATTATTAATTTGTTTGAAAAAAAAGATTGTAAAAATCAAAAATTTACAACAAATCAAGGCAACACATTTGTTCACGCGTGAATGCATTATACATACACAAAGTAAAAATAGAATAATGTTAAACCAGTCTTTATGAGGTAGTACGTAGAATTAATCCACACAAAGAAGGTATTGAAGGGATAAATGCCAATATTTAATGGTTTCCAGGCTTAGTTACTTAGCGAGTTCATCTCGCATAGTTATTGGCAATTCTCGCAAGATGGCGTCATTAAGTACGGCCCCTTGGAATGAATGTAGAACGTTCGATTGTTGAAGCGGGCTTCTCATCTAGAATAGATTATTTAAAATGAATTTAAATGGTGAATAGATGTTTTTGCCGACTCGGAAAGATCGCTTCGGCAGAGTATGACAGATCACAAACTAAAGAAATTCCTGGTTTTTTCATGTTTACTTTTTCTTATTCAATTTTTGTCTTATGACTCATGACAGGTGCAGTGTGCACAACTGCACACTTGAAGAAATATTCTTGAAGTAACATCAGTTATTGACCTCCGCCAACAGAGCGAGTTACTTTCCTCGATCGGAAGGTTTCTTTTCCTCCATCCAGCTCTTTCCTTCCGTCGAGATAGTTCTTTTCCTCTATAGAGAGAGTTATTATCGTACACCAACGGAGTTATTTTCCTCCGTGAAGGGAGGCACTATTCTCCAACAGGAGGGTTCTTTTATTTCACCGGGAGTGTTATTTTTCTCCACCGGGAGAGTTCTTTTCCTCTATAGAGAGTTATTACCCTACATCAACGAACTTATTTTCTCTCTATGAAGAGAGGTACTTTCCTCCACCGTGAGAGAGTTCTTCTCCTCCACTGAGAGAGTTAGTTTGCCTCGAGGAGAGGGACCACGATGTCGTGAAAGAGCACACAAATACCGCGGAGACTCGCAGATTAGAGGTTCTCTACGTGGTCTTCTTGACTTTGATGGAGTCGCAGCTGGTGGACGGAGAGGGTTCGACGATCTGGATGACATCCTCGTCGGAGGACTCGGGCTGGCGCTGAAACCGCTCCTCTTCATCCGGGACCGCCATGACGGAAACCTTGACGACCGCAAAGTCGGGGGCCATCAGACACCGGGCGATGGACCAACAGCATCCGAGAAACCAAAACACCGTGTTCAGCCATTGGGTCGTCAGGCAGTTGCTGATATCGTGCACCAACCTGAAACATCACAACGGAACCTGAAACATCAATATGTTTGACACGGAACAACGAAAATCTAATGATGAAGAAAATGAGTGACAAGCTTGGGGAAGACATGATGTATGAACGTATTTCTATCAAACGGAACTGAGACATGAGCCCTGATACCCATCTATCTATCTATACTATAAGCTCCGAGACCTCCTAATTTTGCGAAACTGGTAACGCTTAGTTACAGTGTTCTACCGGGCCGATTTTCATGATTTTTGCAGCTATCGACGGGCAATTGCCTCTAGATAAGCCAACTCTTTTTAGATTTTCAAAATATGGCCCAGGTTTTTTTATATTACGTGGTAAAGTTGCGAATTCTCCCATTTAAACAATGTAAATTTATACTTTTTGTCATAGTTCGTTTGAGCGTTCTACCGGGCCGATTTCCATGATTTTTGCGTAAATCGACAGGTAATAGGCCTTAGATGAGCCCGCTGCAATCAGATTTTGGAAAAAGGACCCAGGTTTTTTTAAAATCACGTTATAAAAGTGAGTGAGTTCACAGAATGCTCCGGTACTGCTACCGCTATGCGCGGGAAGATGCGCAATGGTCGAGGAGGTTGCGCAGTAGCTGGGTAGCCTGCGCATCAGCTCTACACTTATCTACACAAGATTCGCGCCTACAGCCGTATGTAGAGCGGTGGCCGAGTCGTCTAAGATGTCCAATGCGTCCACTGTGATCACAGTGTGGGTTCGAACCCCGACTCATGTAATCTTAATTTTTACCTGACTATCATATTGTTCATTGTTTTACTGCAATATTTCATCAAGCAGTCATTCCAAAACGCGTCCTTTTAATTTTAAAGTACACCGAAAAAAAATTGAAGTTAATTTAACATTCTGGATGTAAAAAAAGTGTGCGAGAACTTACAAAATGCTAAAATACCTGCCACAGCAGTTACTTCAGCAATGCCAAGATGTAAAATTAAGTGCTGTGGCGGGTAATTCAGCATTTATAAGTTCTCGCACACTTTTTTTACATTCAGAATGTTAATTTAACTTCCTTTTTTTTTCGGTGTAATTTTAAGTAAAGTTTAAAATTAAAGTATACCTCATATCGTATTTTTTTAGGGGAAAAATAAAACTAACACTGATAGGAGGGTAAAAATAGGGCCGCGAAGCGGCCCATTGACGGCGCGGAGCGCCCTCAGGGGGTTGGGCCGCGTAGCGGCCAGGGGGCATAGCCCCCTAGTAAGAATATATGTATAACAGAGCTCACGTCATAATGCACAAAGTTCCGTTTGACAAAGATGCGTCCATATAGCTCCCAAAAAACAGAAAACTCTTCATCCAATCTTTGAAAAAATAAGTTGGGAGATTCAGTTCATTTCTAAGCCGATAAGCAGTGGCGTAACGTGCTTTGCAAGTAAGCAATTGATCTGCTATATAAGCGTATGGAAAAGGATCGACATTCAAAGTGTTCGCAAGAAACACCTTAATGATCGATTCTGTATCATGGCTTCAAATGAAGTGATATTGATAGTCGACGATCCACGCCTCTATACGGAATGAAACGCGTTAAGTTGCATTATAATCCGGATTTTATCACCCTAAAAATGATTAATCAAAATTTTAAATAGTTCTCGGAGCTATATATTTCAAGTATAGCATAGATTGGAAATACATAGTAAAACATTACCTCTGCATTCAAATGTTGTGCATAGCTACCGGTTGAAGGGACGTCTACCATTGAAATGTATCGCATTAAAATTGAATAAGTTCTTCTATGCATTGGAAAGCGCTTATCTTTCTGACTCGTGGAACTCAGTTTATCGATCGTTTAAGATTGACATTTTTCGTCAAATTATGTAAAAATATTGCGATAAAATGCATTAAATTGCATTAAATGCATTTATTGTATGAAATTGTAATTTCATTTCAATTTTTTCATTTCTATGCGCTATGTGGTATTTTGGAACTGTCAAACTTCTCATACCGTCGTAACTTTGGTTTGATTTAACTTTTCATTATTTCCTCGGAGTTCTCTGTTTAAACACACTGAAAAAAATGTTTCCTAAATACAAGGCGAAGCCGTCTTAGACCAAGTAAACTGGATACTTAAAAAGTAAAAGAAACGGAGGTTTGAACTAAGATAACGGAGTTACCTTGGATCAAGAAATAGCGTTTTCTCAATCCAACGCTCCACGTCCCCTTAAAAGAAGAAAGCGTTTACTTAAAAAAAGGAAACATTCCATGCCGTGAAAATATTTCCTAAATTTAAGAAATTATCGTTGGTTTGAAGTGAGTATCCGTCGTATTGATCTAGGTAAACTGTTTACTTAGAAATAGGAAACAGTTGCGTAACTCCCACGTGCATTTACTGGCTTCAAGTTAATGGTTTGTTTAAAATTAGTAAACGGAGTGTTGGACGGGAATGCGCGTTTATTGTATTGAAACCAACCGTTGTCTTAGAATTAGTAAACGGAGACGCCCGGCATGAATGGATGTTGCCTAACTCCCAGGCGTGTTTACTTATTTCTAGCCAATTGTTGTTTTAAATTTAGTAAATAGTCACTGCAGGTATGCACACTGCACCCATATCATATGTATTATTATTGATCAATAATAGCAAAAAATGGTTTAATTTATCGAATTTTTGATGAAAAAAATTTTCAATTGTATATCTGCAAGTATCGAAGACTCGACATGGCAAGTACCAACTTGCAAATTTTGGCCTACCTATCGGGATTTGAGCCTGGGACCTACAGTTTACGAACCTAACACCCTACCTACTTAGCCATCGGGGCTTATGTCTACGTCGGCCGAATTTACACTATATAAGTCATTGACTTAGGCTCTCACCATTATTGTGATAGTGAATATGCGTGAGACCTGATGGGTTAAGATTTTTTGAACCCGAAAAGATTAATTTGGAGCAAAAAAGAAATACGCGTGTTACTGTTGTCACTTTTTTTTACGTTTATTTTTGTTTCTTTCCCATCTTATATTAATGTTTAATCTCTTTAGAAAGAATTTAAAGCAATGCGTCTTTTTTAAAATTTTCTCTCTTCATTTTTTCTTGAAGAATCGCTGACTTTAAAAAAATAAGAATAAAGAATGAAACTCTTCGAAAATGTTTGTAACACAATAACTTTTTATTTTTGATGACTGAGATTGTTACATTTTTTAAATATTACTAGTTCTATTCAATTCGATTATAATATTCAAGACTATTCTGGACCATTTATTAGACTTTTCTATTTCAATTAGAATATTAATAGTTCTATTCAATAGTTCTAATTAATTCACATCGGGCGGAAAAGGAAGAATGTGAGCACTATAAAAGAAACATTAATAGTTCTAATTCCTTACTTTAAAAAATAAGATTTGAAAAATAAGCTTTGAGATTTTCTGGATTAAAGCATCTTTTTCGGTGGACAGTCACAATTTATTCATAAAAAAGTTCAATCTTCGATTACTCTTATATTTTACTCAGTTTACATAATCACACGCGTGACGTTCTAATATTTTATTGTATAGCTGCACTTCATTTTCGTTACACTCTCTAAAGTTGATAGGAAGGTGGTAAAGAAGTGCTGGATCCACCCTATTTTGCAGGGAAACAAGGTAAAAAGGGTCAAATGCTTCAATTACGGTAAAAAATGTTGAGCTCTTTATGAGTATCCGTACAAGACTGTGGAGGGAGGGGGGGCGGAAAGATCGGTCCCGACAGGCCCTTCGACCCAAAATTTCCCCGGACACAAATGAATCAAAGTTTTAAATATCAACAATTTTGCACTCGCAAATTCCTTTCGAAAATACAGAAAAAACTGTATTTTGTTTTCGATCCACTCCATCGTTGCGTTCATAAACCAAAGGGACCCGGAAAATCGATATTGAACAGTGTAAACACTACGTAGCAGCAGAGTTATTCGAATATCTTCATCTGTCAACTTGGTGGGTGACATGCTGAAAAGTATGATTCTCTCCACATTTTTTTAATTTCTTCCTCGGCCCTCAGCATGAGCATGCATTTTATTTGACCCTTTTTAATTCTATCTGCGAGGGATCTTTCATTCATCAGGACAGGAAAAGTAAGGAAGAAAATAAGTAAAAAAAATTGCGATTTTTTAGTGTGAGGAAATACATTGTCCGATGAAACTGAACTGAGGCAATGCAAAAAACTCCCGGCTTCAATCTACTTAAGTATTTAAGTCCTCTTTATGAGGCCCCCTTCATTTAAAAATAAAAATTAAAACTTCAAATGCACAGTGCCGATCTATTTAGAACAACGCAAATATTTCCTCTTCCTCTCCTTCTTTACTTCTTTATTTATTTAATTTTTTGTCGACGCCGAGCATATGAGTGATTTCTCAAAGGACACATTAAATGAATTTCTCCCTAAAGAACAATTATTTTGTAGACAAATATAATGGGCATCTTGATTTTTTAACTTCCGTCTCCTTTTATTCCGTCATAAATGGTGTTGGTTTAAGCAGATGCTAACGGCATCTGGTAGCAATTGCATGTATCATTCTCATAGGAGGCGTCACCATCCGGTTTACTAATTTTAAGGAAACTGGTTTCTTCTTCGAAGCAAAATGTTATATTGAAAGTAGGCAACCGCACATGTCCCATGCCGCATCCGTTCCCCGCGGAAGTGACTCACTCCGTTTACTACTTTTAAGGTAACTGGTTTCTTCTTCTGACGTACCGTGTTTTCTTTCATCAAACAAGCTGTTGGGTTATTAAAAGGAAACAGCGTCCGGCTTATTGCATCTTCCCCCGCTGAGGGCGTTCGCCCCGTTTACTAATTCTAAGGAAACCGTTTTCTTCTTTCGACACAACGTGTTTTCTTCTACCAAGCAAGCTGTTGGGTTAAAAGAAGGCAACAGCGTCTAGCTTATTGCATCCTCCCCCGCTGAGGGCGTTCGCCCCGTTTACTAATTTTGAGGAAACCGGTTTCTTCTTTAAACGCAACGTGTTTCACTGTACCAAGCAAACTGTTGAATTGTAAAAAATCAACGGGCGTATTGCTAATTGCATCCGGTCGCCTCGAAAGGAGTTAGCCCCGTTTACTAATTTTGAGGAAACCGGTTTCTTCTTTCGACACAACGTATTTTCTTCTACCAAGCATGCTGTTGACTTAAAAAGAGGCAACGGCCGGACTCAGAAGGCGTTCACCCCGTTTACTAATTTTAAAGAAACTGGTTTCTTCATTCAAGCAAAAGTTCCGCAAGTTAGTTGTATTTTAAAACAACGTTTATTTTACTTAAGAAAACACGATTCGCTTGTTTCAAGCGAATCATGTTGTCTTACATTAAGAAAACCGTTAGTTTCTTCCAAGTCAAACCCGTTTTGAAATAAGTAAAAAATCCAAGTAGACGCGTTTACTTAAATTCAGGAAATCTTTTTTTTCCGTGCATAAAATACTAGAGGAGATAAGGCAACGTTTCATGTAGCATTCATATGTACATTCTGGTTTAATCCATCCTTTCGATTTTGGCCTCTAAGTAGTTTTCTTTTGTGAATCAGAGTACCTGGAGAATACGGACACGTCGGTAATTTTGAGGTTAGATCATGCAGCTCTTGGGGCTGAAAAGAGCAGCCTAACCTATGAATTTAACTTATCCAGAGAAGTTAATTATTACAATTGTTGGGACCCTTCGTTTATGTCAAGCACGTATTCGATTTAAGTTTCGCATGAATTTACTCATTCTTGCGGAAGGACGCTCATTAACGAAGATTCTTGGCAATCTTGATTCGATATTGGAATCTGAAGATTGGTAGTGACATTTTTCGTGTTAGAAGATTGGCTTGCCTTTTTGGCCGTACGAGCTATTTATCTGGACGTGTCTTTATTCCTCCCGTATAGAATAGGCACTCTATCGTGAATATAAAGGCCTGGATAGACGCTCAAATTCCTGTCAATTTCCAATCAAAAGGATGACAAAAATGGCGGTCGAGAGTTATCTAAATTGATATATGAAATTAATTAAAACAGCGTGTTGATTGAACTATGCCTGAAATAAGTACGGTTGTGTGGAAACCAGGTGACGGATGAGACCCAAAGTTCCATCATCTATCATCAAATTTTTTCAGGCCGTAAAAAATTGATGGTAGATGGTGCGCATGCGCATCAGTCACCATTTGAGCGTGTATCCAGGCCTTGAGAAGAGAATAAAATGTGGAAAAATCTAAATCTTACTCAATGCCGAGGAGTTTGCCGTCGAGTAGGACGGACTGGAGGTCGTGGCACATGCGTTTCTCGGCCGGCTTGGAGGCGGGCAAGTCGAAGGCGCAGAACTTGGCAACGCCGACGTGGAAGTTGACGGAGGCGTTGAGGGCGATGCCGAAGGCGAGGATGTTGAAGACGGAGGCCGGGGTGACGATGCGCCACGGCTGGGCGATGTAGCCGTCGGTGCCGCCGCCGCGGGCACACATGACGAAGAAGACCATCCAGACGACGGCGAAGATGGAGCAGAGCAGGTGGGAGTAGAGGTAGAAGTCGCAGGCCTCGCGGGGGCGCCAGGTGCTCGAGAGGGCGTCGATCTCGCGGGAGTCCCGTTTGAAGTGGAGCGAGGCCCAGAGGAAGCAGTTGTCGTCGAGTTTACTCAGGATCGAGTGGAAGAACACTGAGGCCAGGATCCCGGAGACGCAGGCCAGGAAGTAGAAGCTCAGGTGGAGGGCCTTCCAGGTAGCCGGGATCGTTGCCTTCTCCTCCAGCCGGTAGCTCACGCTCAGCTCTTGCATCCGGCCACCGTCCCCACTGAAACCACAATCAAAAGAGATACCAACGGTCAACACCAATTCCAATCTTAGTTGCTAGATCCCCACTAAGCGCATGTCAAATATCTACATTTAATTGCAAAATCTGGGAACTTTGATTGGAATCAGAGACAAAAAAAGTGTCTTCACAAATGGACGTATTTCTGCCAAATAGAACCAGAGACAGGTCGGAAAGAAGGGGTATGCTTGTCAGTCGAGGGCCGTAAGAATGGATTGTGATTAAAAAGCACCAGTGACGTCAGCGGTGAAAGATTCGGTATCAGGATCGACGTCCGGAGTTTTTAACTCATGAGCCCTGTCCATGACGCTCTTGTGACACGCCCATGGCTCACGAGTGCCACCCTCAATTGGCACATAGTTCCGTTTGACAGAATGTAAAATCTCGCTTTTGCAATTCCCCAAAGAGAATCACGCCCACTTTTACATTGTTTCTTGTGCAGCTTTCTAGAGCACACCCCAACTCCCCCACTTGTCCACAGTTCTGTTGGGCAGAATACATCCAAATAAGAAAATGAGAGTATTAAAGTTCCGGAAAATTTCATCCCCTCCATTTGTAAATCTATTTTTCTACTTCTCAATGGAAAGCAATTATGTAATAAGTTGAAGCTTATATGCTCTTTTACTGATGGCATACACTTTGAGCCTAAGTGAAAGAAGGAAATTCGGAAGACTCAACTGAAAACATTGGATTGATGACTAAATTATGCTAGTTTCAATTGACACAAGAACTCACAAAACACATCCGGTTGAATAGCATTTACACAGGGCGCCATCCAATTCCCTCCCCCGATTCCCTCCCGAGACCGATTCCCTCCCCCGATTCCCTCCCAGGACCGATTCCCTCATGCGGCCGGAACTGATTTCCGATTCCCTCCCGGCTTTGGAGTAAATTGAAAATATGTGGCAACGTTGCAACAATTGATCAAGTAGTAAGACGAAATAATCAAGATCCAAAATAAACTCACTATTCCCAGAGACACCTGATACAGCGCCATTTCTCGTAAGAGTAGAAGAGTAGGTGGTAGAAGTTTGAAGTACCTTAAACGGATCAACAGAGTCCGTCGCGTCAAAAAAAATAAGACAAAAAAAAAATATCACAAGAAATCATTTGGCGAATTTCTATGAAGTACCTTAAACGGGTGTACAGAGTCCGTCGCGTCAAAAAAAAATAAGACAAAAAAAAAAAAAAATTATCACAAGAAAACATTTGGCGAATTTCTATGAGACACCGTGCGAATGAAGTGGAACAAGGCTTCATCGTTGTAGTTTTCGAGAAGTTCGGATGTATTTTTTTCGAGAGCAACCATTTTTGGCAGTTTTCAATCTGGGTTTTGCCACTGACTGATTTGCGGAATTTATTAAAATTCTGCTGTCGCGGAAAATTCTCTTCAGCACGGCAACGAAACTCGGAAAATCGGGATGAGCTTTGTAATAAAAAGAGTTGTACCGCGCGTGAAAACTCTCACACGTTGCCACTATTTTCAATTTACTTCAAAGCCGGGAGGGAATCGGAAATCAGTTCCGGCCGCATGAGGGAATCGGTCTTGGGAGGGAATCGGGGGAGGGAATCGGTCTCGGGAGGGAATCGGGGGAGGGAATTGGATGGCGCCCTTTACACATCGTATCGCTTCATACCGCGTGAAACTGAGTGATTTTGAGACTATGATACTATTGCTGGATGATGTTACTTCATCACGATTCACCATTGTCGTAAAGTTTTTCCACAGTAATTATTTTGCTAAAATAGAATTTTGGCTAAATTTTCTCTTCTTTTTTACAAAAAACGAATATTTCACTCCACTCCTACGCAAAAATTAATAGGTACTCTTGAAAAAAGTTCTGTTCCTGATTGCTCAGGAAAAATATACGTATATCAGACAGCAGGCACCTCCGATGAAAAAACTCAGTAGTAAGACAAGGGTCTTTACGTCATAGAGTGATAGACGAGAGGTGAGGAGGAGGCTGATATGCATGTAGTTCTAACATCATCATACGGGACCGTATGCGCTAGTAAAACAAAACGCCTTCATTTACTCTGCTATCCACCTTGGACGGTCGCTAAGCAGGAATAGTTGTATCCGCCCGGGAGATTCCACATTTCCACCGCGCCGCATTCAACGAAGCTACTCCAAAAAAAGAACTTCGCGCCCGCCGCACTGCCGTGGTAGCGAAAACAACAGTAAGTGCACACTGAGATGAGCCTTGATACACATAAAAGCATATGTTAATCATGGCACATCCAGAAATGCACTTACTGCGCTCTTCGCTATCACGGCAGCGCATTCCTTCCTTTATACAGGGTGACCCAGGATTAAGTACGAATATCGAAAGAGTCGATTTTTTTAGTCAAAAAAGACGTTCTTGTGATAAAACTTCTTTTCCAAAAAAGCCTTTCCTGGGGTTCTTATCAGCCCCCTAAAAGTCCCTATTATCTCGGAAAGGATTGGTAATAGAGAAAAAACATTTACATTACATTTTCTCATTATTTTTCGAAACTGAATCTAGTGGTGCCGTCAAAAATCAATTTTTGTAGCTAGAAACATAATTTTGGCCACTTTTAGGTTCAATAACCCTTTACCAACTCCCCAATGAGTTTCCCCCTTTTTGGAGGTCGAAAATGAAGAGAGCGCTAAGAATTACCCCCTGTTATCAAGTTGCATTTATGTGGCGTGATATTTTCATTAATATGATGTGTACGTTGATAAACAAACATGTTCACAGTGATAAAAATACGATTTTTTTCCCCGCCATTTTGGGGGGGGGGGGCATGGTCCCCAGGGAGAGTGGTTTTTGAAAAAAGTTTTATCACAAAAACGTCTTTTTTTGACCCTAAGAATCGACTCTTACACTATTCGTACGTAATCCTGAGTCACCCTGAAGAACTTCCACTTTTCCCTTCGAAAAATAACCTAACCATTCTCCCCCTGACATTTTCTCAGAGGATTCGAGAGCCTCATCGCATTTTGAAGGAGCGCCTACTAGGCAACGAGACCCAACACTGCCATGCTTAGGAAAAACGCCGTATGAACTTTCAGGCGTTGCCAAATTTCCTTTGATAAAACACGAATTTATACTTGTACACGGGGTCAAAAGATCTCACAAGAGCAATTTTCAAAGTCGGATCAACGAATCAGTTTTTGACCAAAAGCGCTAGATATTATGTACTTCACGTTTGGTTAATATTGCGCCAAGAAGTCAAGAAAAGAAGTCCAGTTGCATGTTAGGCTAACAATTTTTAATCTCATTTATGACCGTCTGACACTTCGAGAATTATTCTTTCTCTTCAATTTTCTCAACACGCGTCCGCATTACTACTATTACACGTTTACTCACCGCTTATTTCAATCCGTGATTCCTCCGGTTTGATTTTACTATTTTCAGTGTTTTTTCATGCCATAATATTTTTAGAGCTGTCATTTATATACCATTTGGTCTCGGAGCATTTTTTATGTTTGAACCAGCACGCTTTTAGAAATGTTTCATTCAAAATTCAAACTCTTTCAATTTTTAGTCGTCCTCTAAGGAAGGAAAATACCTAGGAAGAAAAAAAACCGCGGAAAAGAAATTACGAGATAAAAAACGTACCGAGGTTTGAATATATGAACGCTAACGCTAGGCAATTTAGGAAATAAAAAGACCCAGTTCACCAACGGGACTCGCTAATTACATGTTACTCGAACTTCAAATACCTATTATTATCAAAATGAGATTAAGATATTTTCATGAACGCTGACTCAAAGAGGAATGCAAACATTCTTTAAATCACTGCAGCTTAATCGATGAGTCATTATGAAAAACATGCGAACTTTTTTACGAAGAAAAATGTGACTAAGAATATTCTTTTTTTTACGCGTCGCGCCCCTTTCAGACTGATTATTTTCATCAAAAGTATAAAACCATGCATGCACCATCACAGCGCGTTGAGCAAGCTGTAAATCTAATTTCGATTTCTTTCCATTCTCTTAAAATATCAATCAAGGTCTTTTCATGACCCATGGGCGTATGGTATGACGTAGATGCTGAGTTGCATTGTCTCAAAATGTTTCCTACAGTAAATAATGGATGATCTTCCGACAAAACTTGTAAAAAATTGATCATGCAATTTTTATTGTTTTCAACCCACGTCTTTGAGCGGGCTTTTTCTTATATACTAGCACTAGCACTGGCTACTTTTCAATCGTAGATTACAATTTGGCCGGTTATGAATGTATCTCTTTGTTAAAATTTTACCGAGGGTTAAATTTTAATAAAATTGATTAGGCTTAGAGAAATTAAACGTTTCATTTCACTATTCCCAACAAATCCAAAATATTTTTTTCTGGGTCTTTGAAAAATGGTGTTTGAACTTAAAATTTCCAGAAATAGCGCTAAAAATTTTGACTTAGAGAATGTTATAAACAAGCGTCAATTGAACCGGATTGTAAAAAAAAAAAAATATACCAATCAGACACGGTACCAAATGCCTAATTTTCACTGAGGTATTTTTCTTGTGTTGCGTTGGTTCTTTGTTTTGGAGGAAATAGGACAGAAAACAACATCTACGGCGGTATTGTTATTTTGTTGCTCCGTGCGCGGTGTAAAGTGATTGTAAACCATTTTTTAACAAAAAGAATTCCCCCTAAAAACAATCGAAATTGTATATTTTAACACGATATTTGGCTGCAGTGTATGAGTCACTGACGTAATGGTGGGCGTGATACTAATTATTATTATCTGTATGAATGTTGAATGAAGCAGGCACGGCTGGCCCTGCCCAAGTTGATAACTCCTTCCCCGCTTCAGAACCGGTTTTTGGAGCACTCGATACGATTCAAAAAATTCTGCACTATGGACAATTTTTGCATTTTATACCTACATCCTCGGTCTTTTTGCTTTATTTTTTATTTATTTTTTCTTTGGAACGGGCAGGATCCATAACGCATCAGTGTGTTCAACGTTTTCTACCGAAAAAAGTAAAATGCATCTACTTATAATGGCTCTGTGAGACTGATCTTTTCTAACCATTGGCGCGAGAGGTTTAGGGAAAACAAAATGAGTTGAAGGATTCAATTTTCTCAGCTTTCAATCAGACAATTCTTACTCGAGGTGTCATCCTCCCTCCTCAACCTTTCAAAAATGACTTTTCCCACCCTTAAGCTTAGTTCTATAAACGTTTGACAAAATTATTCTTCAGATAAAGCAAAACTTTTGGTTTTTTTTTCAGGAATTTTAGGATCCATGCAGTAAATGTCATGGTTTGCATGGAAATTTGTATCCTGGGGGACATTCTGGGAACTAGAAATCTTTTCCGAGGGTTGTAGATCCTTGTTTAAATTGCCCGTTCAAAAATTATCTTAATGATTTTTGCACATTTGCGTTTCATAGGAATTTGAAAGCTGTTACTCATGTGTATACTAAATATGTCATACCTGTCCGTAGAAAAGTTGTATTGCATTTAGCAAAAGGGAACCAGCGCGATTACAGTGGTTTCAAAATTATGCAAGTACATCTTTGCTTTAAAAAGTACTAAATTTATTCGAGTATTAAAATTTACACAATAATTTGCCTTTAAAATGAAAAAATTTCTGGTGGAAAAGCAAAAACTGTTGCTACTATGGGACATGTTTTAGATGCAGATGAAGATGCTCGATTTTGAAAACACTGTAAACGCTCTGGTTCCGTTTTGCTAAATGCAATTCAGTCAATGAGAGGGAAATTACATAAAAAGGTATCATATCCTTCAAGTTCAGGCTTTACTAATCGGGTTTGTGCAGCCACTTATTTTTGCCTACAAGGCAAACAATTTTTTTTAACGGATGTAGTATCAATATTGGGTCGATATCGTTGTGTGTGTTTCATCGTTTTTTAAAAGTTTCATTGCATTTCCGACTGAAAATGACTCAGTTTTCAGTCGAAACGTCTCGGTTTTTCATTTTAATTGTGTATTTTAGCCTTGTTTCCCGTCCTCCCCCCCCCCTTGTTTTTCTACTCTTCTCTACATAGGATATCGATGATATGATTTAGAAGAATTAAGTAAAAAAATTATGAAAATCAAAAGGATGAAATGAATGCAGGTACCTCTTTGGCTTTAAAACGTCTACGGGACGACTGGTGCTGGTTCTTATCCTCTATGAATTTCCTCGGAACCATTCGCTTTGGCGTCTTTCGTAGGTAGGTATCCAAAAACCACACCTGGTGGGAAAGTACTCGTACGAATAGGTATTGTGAATTATCAAAAATGCATCACAGTAGGTACTTGGATCTTCAGCGGAAGACACTAAACTCACAAACTAGAATAAGGTACCAGATGCTTTATAATAGAATCATTTCTGCTCGCACACATGCAGTAAAAAAAAACTACACACTAACATTCACACATTTTTTTAAATTTTTAAACACCTCCGCAATGGGAAGGATTTATGACAACACCAACACTTGTCGCCGGGTGAAAAGTAAGAGCAGACAGTCCAACAATCAATTTCAGTTTTATATTTTTAACAAATAAAACCAAATTTGTGAAAATTAAAGGAGGAAGGATCCACTTTGACAGTTGGCGGGTGAGGATTTGCGAGACGGGCGCACGGTTCCACTGATGAGCACATGCGGTGAATTCCAGAGTGTGATCGGATCGAGGATGGAGGGAGCCGTTATTTTTAGTCGGATCCGATGCAGCGAGGCTATTTCAAACTGATACAGACGCGGAAACGAAGGTGAAATGAGTCCGGATAGAAGATAGGTTATCCAGTGTAAACTGTTGTAGTCAACTCGCTCGTGCCTCGGGTAGGAACAGCCGAACGGCGCGCGCGCGGTTCGAGAACTGCTCGTAGTAGTCATAGCCCCCGCGGTTGTCCATTCTTTGGTGCGTCTCCACCGCGCACCGGTCCGGAAAACAGCTGACCGCCGACGCCACACAGTGGGTCCGGTCAATCAGAGGGTTCGCACATGAAATTTTTGACTAAGACTTGAAATTTTGATATTTGTTTCGTTACATTTTCAATTTTAAGGTGTGCTTTAAGCAGAACATTTAACTAGAACCCGAAGCAATCATTTTTAGAACCTCAAAATATTTTAAAAACGGATTTATAAGCTTTTACAGTTTCCAAATTTTGTCCGAGCTCTCCTATCGACTCGGACCAGTGTGCGCCGCCGGCCGGGGCGAAGAACCCACATCGGAATTCTCGTTGTCAGATCTGGCGAAATTATTATCTCACTCCAGCACTGAGGAAAAACGCCGTCATAGGCGGATCCAGGCGAGACAAAAGGACCGTGCACCCCTACTCTCCCCCCTCGTTAGCCCCCTCCCCCCCAAAAAAAAAAGGCAAAAAGGAAAGAAAGAGAGAAACAAGGAATGGACGAAAGGAGAAGGAATGACGCTTATATTTGATAGTTGATGAAATTGACTCAAACTGCATATCAGATGGTTTATAATCTCGAAAATTTTATGAGGGAGGCCCCGGGCCCCCTCCCCCCCCCCTTTCGAAGTGTCTGAATCCGCCCTGAACGCCGCACAGTGGAACGAGCTAATAGAAGAAGTCGGACATGAAATTTTTGGCTGTTTCAAATTTTGATGTTCACTCAGTCACAAATTCTATTTCAAGGGCGTTTCTGTGAGGAAATTTCACGAAATTAAACTTCAACTAAATTTTTTTGTCAAATATTTTCGCAAATTTCAGCTTTCGAAATTACCAGATTTTGTCCGACTCTTCCTATTGACTCGATCCAGTGTGCGCCGTATGCTGCCCAGAGATGCTAAATGAAATTTGATGACTTTCACGAAATTTCATTTTACTCGAAATGAAATATTTTCCGTGAAATCTCACCAATGTTTGAGGGGTTGGGTATCCAGCCCGCGACAATAATCCGAAAATTTTATATGAAACTTCGGAATTTGACTGATTATATATATCTTCTCCTTCTTATTCTCCTTCTCCTCATCCTCCTTCGAAAGAATTTGAGGTTTCTATGCAAATATGGCATCTCGAGTCTATTGTGGAAGTTTCAAAAAGTTCCTAACATCTCACGAAATTTCATTTTATGAAGTTTCATGAGATTTTGTATCTTTGATGCTGCATGCCGTGCTAGGAAAGAATAACTTATGAGCTTCCGGAGCTCATTTAAAGAGTTAGTAATTGAAAAATTTTCGTCCCTGAATGATTTTTACTCATCAACAAAATGAACCGAATTTTAATATTACTCTTACCGTATTCTTCTCAATCAAATGCCAGTTTTAGTGTTTGACTGGCAACACTGATCCGAGAGTTTGGCGAGCACTCGGCGCTCTGAATGAGAAAACTATCAACAAACGCTGAAATGACGTAATCTCCTTGATTATTACCACATCTAACATACATTGTGTTTTCTGTCTTACAATCAGCTCTCATGAAAATGTTCGGGTTTACTTATTATTTTGAGGTGCTCAGTACTCGCCCCTTAAACTACCCCTACGTAGAAATATACTCAGATCCAAGTTTTTGAAATGGGGACCAAATTTGAGGGGCTTGGAGGACAAGGCGCATAAGTGCAGTTTCTGAAAAATTGGGGTCTTAATGATTTCAAGTTAAACTAGTCCTAATGCATTTTCAGTAAAAAATTCACCCCCAAATTCCAATTTTTTAAGCATCAAAAAGTCAGTTTCAACTATCTTTCCACCATAAGGATCCATGTTATTTCGAGACTTCAAACACACTTCTCGAAATAGCAAAAACTCCACTTCTGCGTATCGTCTTGTAAATTCCAAGGGCCATGGGGCCGGGGAGGCGATCGCCCTGTCAACTGGAAAATTTTTTTCGAGTCATCATTTTTTCCCCGTAATGTTGTAATATTCCTATCCTTTTCAATCACTGAGAGGCCCCAACATCCTAGAAAATGTGTCTCTAAGAGACATGAGAGGTCGCCTAAAGCTTATATGACGAAGAGGCCCCCGAAGAACCCTGAGAATGGGTTATTTTGAAGTTCAAACACTGTAGAATTAGACTCCAATAATGCTTAAAATTGCGTTTAAAAAGTGTAAAATTTTCAAAATTTTACACTTTTATTTACACACGGGGGGGGGGGGCGGCCCTTCTTAGAGGGGCCCCCGAAAGATAGGAGAGGCCCCCAAATCTAGGTCACCTCCTAACTTTTTGACTACCAGTCCGCCCCTGGTAAGCCCCTCATTTGAATATTTATATCTATTTATTGCGAAGTAAGCACGCGTTTTAACGGTTCCACCATTATATATTGCATGATTTGACTAGTACTCCATCTCGTGTAGTGTTCTCCTGTTTTTTTAGTTAGCGTGACATTGCAGGAGGCAATATCACGAACGTAATCCACCTAATTCGCCACCCATAACCCATGCCAGTTGTTCGTTTAGCGTCTCATAACCCTTATCAAAGTTCTGCCGTGTTATTGTGTTTGTTTGGAGTGACTCTAAGTGAGTGCATAGCTGTGTCTGGATTGAGAGCTCGTACATCCGCTGAGAATGACACAGCTGTTATCAACACGAGAAAAACATGTTCGGAGCGGGCTCGAGGTGGGAGAGATCACTGAGAGCAACCAGTGGCGTGGTGTGCTTTGCGATGTATCGATTGATCTGTCATTTAAACCTATGGAAAAGGATCGATAAACAGGGTGTTTGCATCGACCGCTTTCGTAATCGATTATTTTCCTAAGCTTCAAATGGGGAAATATCGATAATCGATCCTTCACGCCCCACCACTGCTTCGTCACTTCATTAGTCATCCCGACCGCAGACTGAGAGACGCCTTACGCTTGTGAAAGGGAACAGCGATGCTTCCTGCTGAATAATTAGTGTCAATTGGAGTAGGAATGAGCCAAGCACATGGCGATCCCCTTTTTTTGTATAGTGACACCTAATCTGCCGTGCTAAGGAAGAACGCCGTATGAGCCTCCAGACGTTGCCATGTTTCTCTCAATGAACCCTAATTTTTCTTGAAACATTTCGCATATTTTTTTCAAATTCAGTCACTTCGCGGTCACTCAGGGAAATAATGATATTGAAATTATGGGACTGTTAGGATAACAGGAGAAATTTAAATTTCTAATTGGAAAGTATTTAAAAAGTTAAGGATTTTTGGCTGCTCATTAATTTCGGTGGTATAAAGGTCAAAAGGTTGAGTTTGAATGCGAAGCTAGTCACTTTCATTTTTAACAGCTTTGCATTAGCATTTTTAGTGGGAAACAGTGAAAAAAGACGTTAAACAACAATGAAATATCGGCTGTTTTTCTTTGTTTATTAAGTGGTGTTGGGAGAGGTGTTTGTGTGCCCTGTTCGGAGTCCTGGTATCTGGGCTTAAATAAATAAATAAATAAATAAATAAATAAATAAATAGATAGATAAATAAATAAATAAATAGATAAATAAATTAATAAATACGTAAATAAATAAGAAAAATGGAAGAAAACAACAAAATGAAACTTCCAGATTAATATTTTCTTAAATGAATATCTTTGCGCACAGAAGTTAAAATCTCCGTGAACTTTCAAGCTTTCTTCCGAATTGGAGAAATTTCATTAATCGTAGCAGCATTGAGATCTAAATCACTTCGGTCATTTCCAACGGACAGGGTTCATTCTTAATTGTGCACAAATATTCTACATTTCTCAGATGTAACTCATTCACTAAATTTATGCCGGCAGACTAACATGTAGAATTCAAAAGCGCAAAAACGTACCATTTTGATAGGATTTTAGAACTAAAAAATTATCAAAATCGTGTATGAATTATAATTCTGCAAAGCAAACGAGGAAACCAAATGACAGAATCAACTTATGCGGAGACGTACTGTATGTGCTCCGTCGTTATCGTCATCACGAGACGTTTGTTCAACAGTTGCTTTCTTCCGAACAAGTACACTTATTTCTGTATAGGCTATTGCATACCCGCAGAATGGTAGGCGTTTTATGGCCGAATGATCATTACTTGTAACTGCCTCGCAGGTTGTGCAGCGCATGGTCTGTTTCTATTACTGAAATATTAAAACAGGAGCCATAAAATGCATTTTTTAAGGATCGAGATGGCCCAAATCATAGAATAGGAATGGAGATGAGGATATTAAACCTATATGAAATAATACCTATCGTTCTTCCGGTTAATTTTCTGATGAGCTTAGACGGTAATGCCATTTAGATCGAGGGATGTTCGTCAGAAATTAGGAACGCATGCTACTTATGACCGTGAATATTTTCCATTGTTCGAGAAGGTTAATTTTGGATATTCTGAGAAAAAAATCAATCGGAACAGATTTCGGTATCAAAGTCAACATTAGCACACAAGCACGTGGTGCATCATGAGTAAATTGACGATGGCGACACTTTTCTTTGAAGAAAAAGGGACATAAAATCAATCTTAGAGACAATAAAACAATAATTTATGTACATCCATCCTACTCACGACGAAGTTTTAAAACCTTCTCGAATGTATCTTATAGCAGTGCTTCAGCTGTATAGGTCGGTATGAGGGCATGGACGTGCAGAACGCCTTCAATCCGTTGCGCATGCAATATGCACAACCACGGAGCTCGAATAGTTGTGTCCACGCGCCTTCATCAGCATCAAGTCAGGATGACCCAATAGTTAGTAGGAAGAAGCAGCATTCGATTCGACAGGGAAAAAGTTGAGATTTCATTACGTGACAAAACTGTGCAGAGATTTAATCAAATTTTACAAAAACTTTAATACGCTCGTTTATTTCGGCAATTTCGCCAAACGTATGTTACGTATAGCGCGTGTAAGGCTAGCTGCCACAACTCGTGGCGCTACGCAGCAAAAATTGTTGCATTTAGCCACAAGTTATGGGTGCTGTGTGGCTAAATGTAACAATCAAAATGAAA